CAAGCCAGTTCTTAGGAGGTGACTTCAGTGTTTCAGCAGCACGAAGGATCAATCAAGCTCCCCATTCACATTTTTAAGGTTCCCAAACCCAGATATTTCTTGTGTAAAAAATAACATCCCTGATCACGTCTTTTAGATCCCCTTTCTTCATTACAAAAGGGGCACACGGCCCAGTTCCTTTTCACTTCATCTGTAACAAAGCAGGAGAAATGACGCACTGGAATCAGAAGTGAAGCTCGTCAAGCAACTTCTTGTATACTATCATTTCTTTTGGTCACCACTTTCTAGTGCATCAACGTTGAGTACCGACCTTAAGCGCAAGTTTAAAATTTGCCATCAACAGGGCCGACAGCGCCCTTGGGCGAGGTGGGGAAGAGGCCTGCTCTGCCCCCAAAAGGGGCGGGTCTCGGGCAGAAGGGCTGTGACTGGGGTTAGCCTCCTCAAAGCAGCCCACAGTGTCCTCCAGCCCGCCCTAGGTGCACCCTTGGCAGGGTCTGGCAGCAATTTAAAGGGCCCAGGCAGCCACCACTGCCGCAATAGCAGCACCCAGGAAGTCCTGGGCCCTTTAAATTGGGCCTCGGGGCAGCTGCCCTTTTGCCTTCCACTCTTATCGACAGACCTGTTTGCCATTACAAATAGTCTGATCATTAACAACACGCACATATAGCCAACTGGCTGAATAGTTATAAAGAGGCCTGAGAAAGTACAAAATGCAACACGGCATCAGGAGCATTCACATAAACTATCTGAACTGCAAACCGTGGTGCACTGTAACCCATACCCATGATTACATTACATTACAATCCTTCCCATCTCTCAGAGGACTGTAGGTTGGACTGTACATTTCAACGCTAAATTCAGAATGTGTGGTAACTGAACCATGACAATCTGCAGTGTGTAGCAAGTAACAGTCCAGAAAAAGTGTAACATGTCTCACCCTCCAATTCCTTTACCAATTTAGTAAATTCGTGATCAAACATCATGTGGTCTGGGCTAGAAAAACAAGGCTGTGGTTTCTGAGCAGCTCTGGAATAGAGTTCGTGTTTGCTAATGAAACCAAGTTTCTCGATGAAATTCTCCTTGCCAATTCTCTTCTCTATCAGTTGTTTTAGTTTCTCTCTAAAGGAAAAAGATGTAATTAGTACTGCACATCAGGCAAGGAAAGGGAGGGGGGGAGTCTGCCAGTATCAGCTGTTCACGTGCCACAGGCGACAAAGGTATTAACTGTATTTTGCGGTAAAAATGGCTCAGATACTTTGCACTCTATCAGTGACTTTTCCCAACTGACTAGCATAGAGAAGTCAGCTCACATTTTCTAGTCATGTGTATTCTCTCA